GAAAAAAACACGGGGGTGCTTAACTTTTTTCCAGGTGTATATTTATAAAAAATCTCGAAAGGACTGTAAAGTTTTTAAAACTTTGATTTCAGCTTTTGTTTTGTTTTATAAACAAATAGCAAGAAAGTGGAAAGAGCTATTCCATGCTACATGTGCCATTTTAAAACCATAATAAATCGCTTTTAGTGAGTAAGCATCACGTGATCATCATTAAGTTCATAACATTATATGATAGTCTTGTGAATGTCACTGTTTACATCATCTCGTCAACGTACCTTTAGATGATAGTCTCGTGAATGTCACTGTTTACCTCATCTCGTCAACGTACCTTTAGATGATAGTCTCGTGAATGTCACTGTTTACATTGTCTCGTCAACCTACCTTTAGATGATGGTCTCGTGAATGTCACGGTTTTACATTATCTCGTCAACATACCTTTAAATGATAGTCTTGTGAATGTCATTGTTTTAAATTATCTCGTCAACATACCTTTCAATGATAGTCTTGTGAATGTCACTGTTTTACATTATCTCGTCAACGTACCTTTAGATGATAGTCTCGTGAATGTCACTGTTTACCTCATCTCGTCAACGTACCTTTAGATGATAGTCTCGTGAATGTCACTGTTTACATTGTCTCGTCAACGTACCTTTAGATGATAGTCTCGTGAATGTCACTGTTTACCTCATCTCGTCAACGTACCTTTAGATGATAGTGTCATGAATGTCACTGTTTACATTGTCTCGTCAACCTACCTTTAGATGATGGTCTCGTGAATGTCACGGTTTTACATTATCTCGTCAACATACCTTTCAATGATAGTCTTGTGAATATCTTTGTTTTACATTATCTCGTCAACCTACCTTTCAATGATAGTCTTGTGAATGTCACTGTTTTACATTATCTCGTCAACCTACCTTTAAATGATAGTCTCGTGAATGTCACTGTTTATCTCGTCAACGTACCTTTAGATGATAGTCTTGTGAACGTAGCTTTACGGTTAACTTACTGACTATAAAACAAATGTATTGTTGTAAGCTAAATTTTCAATGTTGTAATTTACATATTTGTTAGAGAGAGCTACTAACATGATTCTAAGGCTAGTTTATAAAAATAGTAAATATTAATGATAAGAGAGTTTGTGAAATATATAGAAACAATGATATATTATAAATACGAAAATCAATAAAGCATTGATTCAATTTCTGTTCGTTCAATGATTGAGAAGTTATTGAAGCATTTAGTTCAATGTTAGTTTCGTACATATTCAGTTACTCCATCATTTAGCTATGGAATTGTAAAAGTAAGTTTATTTGTATGTTAGTCATAGTAACATTAGCTAATTCTGTTAATTTTGTACTGTGTACAAGTGATAGTAACTTGTAGCAAGCGTTAAGAAAGAAAGAAACTAATTTATTATCGATATGTGGACTGGATTTCGCATTATTTTGACCAAATAATTTTATAGAACCCGTCCAATGAAAGAACGTGTCATACAGTATATGATATGTAAAATTCTGCTGTTAAAATTGTAAGGTAATTTTACCATATTTTAGAAGAGACATAGTTTGGAATAGTTTGCAAATAATAATGTGTAACGAGAGAACTTACGTCACTGTCGTCGCAAAATCGAATTCTCCTTGGCTCTCCAACACATCGTGCCTCCGTATTTTTAGGTCTAGAAGAGAATGAATAATTTGTAAAGTTACCGAACACTAACATGACGGTGGAATTACATCTTAAGATATGGTACAAATCCAATAATCGTATGAGTAAAGGGAAGAAAATTCGAAGTGTTTATTAAATTATATTTTCTCTAAAACGTGAAGAGAGGCTAAAGAGCTGATATGTTCTTTACGGATAGTTGTTTTTCAAGATAGATAATTTAGGCTTTTAGTTCTATGTAGCTATCAGTAAAACCTAATAACTTGTTATGATTTGAATAATTTCCAGAATTAAAAGCTTTATTGTAATCATCACTGCATCTTCATGGAAAAAAAAAGATCACCTGTAATTTTAAAGTAGAAATGATTTAGTTATGAACTTTGTAAAAATAAATGTTACTAAAACGTTATATGAATAATGAACAGTTATCACGAAAACATGATACAGAAAACGTAAATTTGCCACTAATTATGATACAGACAACGGACAGTTGCCAATAAAATCAAATACATACAGCGGATAGTTTCTACTAAAATCTGACACAGACAACGGACAGTTGCCATTGACATATGATACGGTTGACTGATATTGATAATCTCGTTGTTTTACTAGATGTTTTACTAGGTATTTACTTAATTATAACATTGTTAAAATTATTACTTTGGATTAGTACAGTAGCGTCGATCTTCACGAAAGCCTCTGGAGTTCTCTAAGCATCCTGATTTGCAGTGACCATTCTCCCAGTCGCTCCAGCCACCTTCCACAACTTCTAGTGATTCGTTACCCCAAGGCACACACTGCCCATTCTTACACCACTACCGAGAGAAACCGATTTTCTTTAGAAATAATAAACAGATTATCCTAAATATTTATTCTGCCTGTAATCACTAACACAGTCCTTAAACATTGATTCATTTTATTTAAATATTTTAAACTATGCTAGTTTTTATAAGTTATTACATTTCTTTGAAAGGTTTGGGATATAAACAATATCCAGCTTCGCACCTTTGATGCGATCCCAAAGTTTAATTTACGCAGTTGAAATAATTACCTCAGTATATTTTTGTCCTCTGTTTCAAAATGATTCGATTTACATGATCTTTGAAACATACATCTTACAATCTCCTCTCTATACATACTAGCGACCTTGTTAACGTTACTAAGACAACTCGTAACTATAGATACTTGTAGAACAGCATACATTCTATGTGCACGAGAAGGCTTTCTTTAATCAGTTAAGAAACTGTTAGAAATATTCTGTGAGGATTCAGTTTTGTCAAAAAACAGTGTAAGTTAAAAAACACCGAGCTTAATAAAGACATCACATAATAAATAGCGAAAGGGAAATAAACCGACTTGTTTTACACTACTAGTGTAAGATAAAAAAAATACAAACTTAGATGTGAAACAAAGCTACAAAAATAATTTGATAATAATAATGGATTTCACTTCATTGTATTTATATTCGCCATTTGTGGTAGAAACAAGCAGCAGAAATACTTGGTACTCATTCCTAGGTGTGAGTGAAAGGTTGGTATAACTACAAGAAGAAACATCCACAGGCATACGAAGGGAGAACTAGGTGTCAAAGCAACAAACTATTGTCTCAGCTAGTTTGTAATAACTATGATATTATACTGCTATTATACTTATGTTAATTTTAATAAAATCGTTTTTAGTAGATTAGTAAAGATTGTCTTCTGTGTTTGTTGCAGAATTTCTCGCAGAGCTAAATATTCGGCGCTAATTTTTAGCAGGTAGACTTCAAGGAAGGCAGCAAGTCAACAGCACAAACTGCCAGCTATTCTTAACAGACTACAAGTGGTATTTAACCGTCACTCATACGTATGTAGTTCACTAAAGACTACGGTGCGTAGAGCGTTTATTGATATATTTTTATTTTCTTAAAGCGACTGGACATAAACTCTGAATCTTCAGATTTCACAGTCCAGACACCCTTATCTGGTAAAAAAAAAAAAAGAATTGACGTTAAACAGCATTCCTAATTTATTTATGATTGTTTTAACAATAGACTTTTAAAAAATTTTTATCTAGTAAGCCAGTGGAACTGATAACTTCTGGTCTTGAAATAACGATCCATCGGCAGCGGCATGGAAAAAATCAAGCCCAGTTTGAAATTATTTTATAAAGAATTTTTAATGAAAACTATTATTAAGCTGTCGAATTTTTATGAGTGTTAATGCGGTAATAATTCACATTTATTGCCAACTTAGGAGTTATACACCATCAGACTTGCCCTTATCTACATCAACACTACAAATGTTAACTCACATTTTTTTTTCCACAGTACGTTCCTTCCAATGCAGGACCAGCCTCGTAGTTTCCAATCAAGTTAGGAGATTTACAGAGTATCCCGTTACAAACCTCCTGAAACAGACACGGAATAAAAGGTTTATTAGATGACACAATAATTTGCCAAAGCGTCTTTTGTATTGTTCATGTAACACAGTTCTCCTAAGAATACATTTAATATTGTTCATGTAACACAGTTCTCCTAAGAATACATTTAATATTGTTCATGTAACACAGTTCTCCTAAGAATACATTTAATATTGTTCATGTAACACAGTTCTTCTAAGGATGCATTTAGTATTGTTCGTGTAACACAGTTCTCCTAATGATACATTTAGTATTGTTCATGTAACACAGTTCTCCTAAGGATACATCTAGTATTGCTTACACCTCATCGTCGTACTGATGATATATTCGGTATCGCCTAACTAACACAGTCACTCAGATGTTATATTTAGTATGGTCTACATCAATGTTTTTCAACCATTTCGATACCAGAGACCGGTTCGCTTGTTCCCTAAACTGTCGAGGACCACTAAATTGTAAGTACAAGAAAAACTAAGAACAAGAAATATTTCTGCAGAACTAAAATTATCATGAAGCAGGAGAAGCTGATAGGCTCGATCACCAGTTGAAATAAGGTAAATTTTCAAAGAGTTTTACAGAATTGTAAATATAACTGATATTTTATTATTTTCCATAACTGTTCGTAATTTACAGAGATGAAATTTATTGAAAGTTTAATACATATTGAATTTCGCATCATTATAGTACCTTACTCTGCCAAAAAGTAAAAATAAAGAAAAGATTTAATTTACCAAAATATTGAAACGAAAAACTGCATTTTTAAGATATATATAGAAAGATAAAATATTATTTTTAAACAATGTTAAAAACACCACTACAGAGGTAGTTATTCTGTGCAGCAATCTTTTTAACTATTTTCCTAATACCTTTCTAGTAAGTTAAAACCTGGAACATGACTCTCTCAAAACTAAAACTGATAATTAGAACTTGATATTAGTCATACATTTCAACATTTAACAAAATGGAATTATTGAACCGTCTAATAATTATACGTATGTAAGTAAACTAACGATTATGGCGCAAACAAATCTGCAGAATGGACTATACTGTACCTATCGCATCGATTGAACCTTAATTTTTAGCGTTATAAGCCCTTAAGTTACTGCTGAGTTATCGGGGGAATATACATACATACAGTGCCTTACATAAGTATTTACCCCTGTCAATAATGATACATTTTAATAAAATACAAATAATGTAAACATTTTTTAATGACCTTGTTTTTATTCAAATCTCTAATGATCAAAATTAACACTGTTATGTGTAAAGGAGATTGAATATCAGTAAAACCTGCAAAGATAATATATAAATTTAAATTTACTGATTGCATAAGTATTCAGTCCCCTAAGTCAGTGCTTGGTGGAAGCACCTTTGGCAGCAATTACTGATGTGAGACTTTCTGGATGCGGCATTTTTGCCCATTCTTCAATAGTTCGTTGGGGATCGTTGATGAACTTCAAGTCTCACCATATGTTTTCTATTGATTCAAGTCAGGATTTTGGCTGGGCCACTCCAGAACATCCACTTTCTTCTTTTGAAACCCTCCAGTGGGTCCGGCATGACCAGGTGGTTAAGGCACTCGACTCGCATTCTGAGGGTCGCGGGTTCGAATCCCCGTCACACCAAACATGCTCGCTCTTTCAGCCATGGGGGCGTTATAATGTGACGG